TCTTTTCTTTTCTTTTCTTTTCTTTTCTTTTCTTTTCTTTTCTTTTCTTTTCTTTTCTTTTCTTTTCTTTTCTTTTCTTTTCTTTTCTTTTCTTTCATCCTCCATAGCAGATCTAATTTCTGGTATTTTCAAGTATCTTTCTCTTTGGAGCTTTAAGAAGACCTGAAATATAACATATATTGAGTGTTTTTTCACAACAACAGATCCCTATTTGCACTTCAAAGACAACACCTATCCACAAGCCATCTTCTTACAATCTTTCCTATTAGAGATGCCCTTTTCAACTAGCTCTTGCCTGCAGCTGATCTAAGGGTTTGAGGATGGGGGCTGTGAGCTTGGAACAAAATCATAATCAAAAAACTAGCTCCAAAATTGTGGAGGAGACAGCAAAAGGATTCTTTTTTCTGAGGAGGTGACGGGGGAGAACTCTYTTTTCCTGTCAAACTTGGTTGGATGGCTATTGACACACAGAAAAGTGCTATGGGAGATTTTAAAGTCCAAGACCTGCTTTTCAAGCCCAGGTTCCTGCTTTTGTAAGGTGAAGACCTGTACCCTTGAGAGTGTTATTACCTTTTTCCTGCTGCATTAGGACACTCAGACTGTTTGCTACTGGATTTCTGCAAGACTGTCTTGCATTTGAGTTTCCATTCCTGGGCTAAAGGGGGGAATTCTGGTAGGAGATGATGCCAACAGCATTCGTGTCAAGGCTATAGGGTCAGGAGGGGCCCCAGGGAGATGTTCATCAACCACTGATACCATTTGACTTTACTGCAAGTGGCTGCAAGGCTCATGGGGAGCTCTATGCCCCACTTGGTGCATCAGAAAGTACCTACTGACTCGTGGCTTGATCTGTGCCCTGCATGATCCAAGCTCGATCCCGATTGTTCCAGGAAGGCCAAGGGTGGGAGAAGGAGCTGAGCAGCGGCAGCTGGTCACGATGCCTCGTGCCCACCTTGTCCTTGGGTGACAGCAAGTGCAGTGCAGTGGCTATTTACTGCTCCAGAGCTCCTGCTTGAATGTTATGGTCCTTATTATTCTCACTGGTGTTTAGGATGACTTCAGATACCTGAGACTAAGTTTTACTGAAACTGCACATTGAGAAATGACGGCAACTAYGTATCATCATATCATGGTTGAACCTGTCTGGGCTGTGAGGCCTGACCTTGAGCAAATCTTTCAGGAAAAGATAAACTTCCTTTCTTCTTTCATGAGAAGCACTGTGTCCTCCTGGCTGGCTTAAGCCAAGGAACATGTCATAGYTGTGGGGCATGGCCAGATCTCTGGTGAACATGGGCATGGGCCAGGCTGCCAGCCATGCAGGCTTCTTCCCAATACTCCTCTTGGAGTTGAAGGACAGCATCTCCTGCTACTTTCCTGAGAGGAGGGAGAGAAGATTCTCARTGTCTTCCTGCTCCAGCCCCAGGAGGTGCTCACAGACATGAGAACATAGACTTTGGAGTTGTTCCTAGAGGAACATTCCCTCTGTATTTCTCTCCTAACTGCAGCTGGAATGCTCTGAAGTTTTCACTTCACTGTGATGAAAGAATTTTTATTCTCAGTTCTATCTCCTATAACACTCCTATTTTCCAACTTGATCCACTGTCTAGCACTCTTATCTAATTAGGTTTTGATGGTAAATTTACTTTTTGAATATTTAATGTGTCACAGAGAAAAAATATGGCAAGTTTGAAAGAACTCTATTTAGTGTGTATGGGAGAACTTTACAGACCATTTTGCATAATATTTGTTACTGTTAAGCAATACTCAGTTCCTGTATCTTGTAAAAGCTGACGCTGACAGTGTAAAGCACCCTAGTCATCAAAAATTACTAGTAAGTAGAGATGACAACAGTGTAAACATGTTAGATATATGTTCAAATACCCTGTAATCTTTCTAAGAAGGTACCTAATATCCGAATTTTATAACAAATTTGCTTCCTATTGATGTGGTGTAGGACTTTGCAGTGGTGGACCTGCAGAGTAGAAGTCCCACAGGTGACTCATGTTTGAGTAAACACTTTAAGCGCATAAGATCTGAAATCATTTCAAACTTATGGACTCAAATTAATTGAAGTACTTGAGCTTGACTACATTTCTCCTAATCTGTTATAGAGCATCCCTATATATGAACTCCAGCAGACAAAGTCTTATGGATCATGTGGCAACACTTTGCTTTGGAAAGGGGAACAGTTTTGTTTCTGATTGCATAAACTGTTTCATCTACTTCAACACCAAAATAAAAATAATAAATTTGGGAGTAGCCAGAAGCAGAACTGAAAGTCTTGGGGGCCACAGAAGCGCTGTGTTCACTTCTTGTGAATATAACACTGCTAAGAAAACACACAGATGCAGCACTGCAAAGCTCAAGTCAAACACACAGGGCAATTTGTGATAGCAAAAGATATGCTTTTAATATCTGAGCTTGTTGGATGGATCAGTGCACAGCAGTGCGCATTGTACTGGGCCGGTACGAAGCACCAAACACCATGACAGATAGATGGGCTGCATRGCAAGGTGTTCAAGGCATGACTTAAATCAGAGTGATGAATTTTTTGTGCAAAGTTTGGGATGAAGGAAACAAGTCTTACCATTCTTGTCTGCTCTTCTTAATATCTAAATAAAAAGAGAGCAAGAAAGGGAGCAGTGTTTGTGTGGGTAAATGGCACACAGTAATGTCACAAGTGTGACAGAGCTGGTTTACAGCTGYTCAGCCACCCCAGGAGTCCAAGCAGCGCTGAGTCTTGAATACATGTGAAGGAGGGAAACACTGGAATGCTGCCTTGGGAATGGGAATAGCCCAGTAAAATGAGACTCCGTCCATGCTGACTAATCCAGGTTGTGTAAATGAATAGCCTCTTACAAAAGTTATTTATAAGATGAAAAAGTTGCATGCTCATTATTCCTCGAATGTAGGAAGGAAAACCAGCGTGCAGCACATGTGGCAGAGGGAGAGGGTTTCACCCCCTGCAGCGGCGCTTCTGCTGCTCCCCCCGGCCCAGCCGCTGCTCAACTCACCGCCCTTGCTTGGAAAGAAACCGATTCCCTAGCACAAATATGCAACATAATCATAATAATAACAAATAAATATAATAAAGAAAATAACTAAATAAAAATAATAACAACTATAGCTTTGCCTCAGTGGTAGAGCTGGAGGAGCAGATCTGTTTTCCACCGGGACTGCCCCAGCCCCAGTGCAGGGGGTGCAAATGAGGGGCTGTTTGGTGCCTGCTCCCCCTTGCGCCTGCCCACACATGTGGGGCTTCCCGAGCCCAGTATGGCCCCTTAGGAAACAGAGTAAAATAAAAAATACATTATAAGTAAATTATAAATATTACTGCCTCCCCACATTAAACAAAAAAAGAAATCGCCCTCCATCCAAATCAATAAATAAATAAATGAAACCACATTACAACCCCGTCGCCATGCCGGAGGGCTMAGGGATCGGTGCGTGCCCCCACTGYGGAGATGGCGCTCAGCCGCGGCGCCTCCCTCCAGGGAAAACCAGAGGGAAACCCCACAGCCTGGCTGGCCTCGCCTCTCCGCTTCCTCCAGCCGCTCAGGCCACAGCTCCCACCTCTTTTGCTGCCTTCACGATTTCTCAGCATTTTTGCTGCGTTCCCGCTCCGAGTATTTCAGCTGCGGGGGATCTTTCTGGAACTACAAGATCTGAAGTGAGCAGACCTTGGAGCCTTAGAAAAAAATATACCCTTAGGATGGCCTGGCCAAAACCCGGGGCAAAGGAGCACCCAAGGGTGAACTCCCCTTTGCTCTTATGTCACCTGGGGGCTACACCCTGGGAGCAGCGCAGCCCACGGCTTCCCCCCAYGGAGCCTGGTGCACGCGCTGGCCCCGTCGCTTCCTCCTCGGAGCACCACAGAGCAACCCCCTTCTTGAGCCTCATCCTCTTCGTTTCTCTGGTGGCCTTCCCAGTTTGTTGAGAGCATTGCGACATGTAAGTTCTGAGCCCCCAAGGGATGGGAGAAAATGCAGAGGTGGGAAGTGTGCAGCCATGGCYGTAAGCAGTAAGAGAGGAAGCCAGTGGCCACCTTTACGGCTGGTCCTCCAGATGCTTCAGAGGTTCCAGGAGCATCTGGGTCTCTCTGGGAGGACTAGACCTGATCTCTCCTGGGGCAAAACTTGAGCCTGCCCCAACCTGTCCTTCTCTTTCTCTCTTCCCTCAGCTCCCACAGCACTTTCTGGTGGGAAGGAGCTACAGCCCCAACGGGAACCCAGTGCAGACAGGTGAGAAACTGTAGGACCAGCACCTACACCTACAGGTAAACCTGGACACCATTTGTGTGGACTGGAGCTTTGCTTTATTTTAACAGGAMAAAGATGTAATGTAAACCCATGATTGCACATGAGGAATTAGAAGAGAGATGCTGGTTTCCAAGTTGCTTCTGCAGGAGGAATCAAGTCACTTGCATTAGAAGATTATTTTGCTCTTATTTTTTATTTGCATGCTCTTCCTACACCTGTTTAGGAAAATGACTAGCAATCTACTCATTCAATCTAATTTATACGTAGGTTTTCAAGCCTAATTTTTCTTAACAGTTAGGTGTCTTTGACAGATTCTTGCCAACTAGTAGGATATGAGAGATCTGTCAGTTTAGATTAATTTAGACCAGTAACCTTAGTCTGTCCTTACTCCTCCTTTCCATCTGAGGAGACACATAAGACTCCTGGGACAGAAAGTGAGTATTAGAAAGGTAAACACAGTAAATAACATTTTCTTCAGTGTGTGTTAAAAGTGTCTAAATAAACTAAATATCTAAATGTGCATATATGGAATATATGGGTGCTCCTTGCAAGATGAGGCACACATTTCTTACACGTTTTTCACATTGCACCAGACAATTGGGTAGTTTTTTCCATGACTTTTTAGGGCCATACTTTTGAAATGAAGGGTATGTGTGACATTAATTAATTTACTGCATTGACTTGCCTGTGTACAATCTGTTTATMACTATCCCTGCAGGAGCATCTTGGAAGCAAGCAGTGTAATCAAAATGAGTGTAATAGGGCGCCCAATAGAGATTATGGATCATATTGAGAAAAAGCCTGCAGTGTGGCTGGATGGCTAACTCAGATATTATAAGATATAAGAAAAGGAAAAAGGGAAAAAGATTAAAATATGATACAGAAGCATAACAGCACTTTTCAAAGAATAAACATTCTTTATGTTTCCAATATTTCCCGAAAAAAAGGTAGAAGGAAATGGCAGTTTCATGACAGTAGTCACAGATGTAATCCAAGCCTAACATGGTCTAATTCACTGCACAAGTCATGCTCAGATGTAGGCAATGGTCCTGCAGAGTCTGTAAACCCYAGCTCCTCTCTAAGCACAAGCAGGGCAAGGAGTTATTCATACTGCAAGCTGTTCTCACTGATTACCAATGTAACCYGGGAGTCTGTTTGCAAATACAGGTAAAGACCAGAGTGCGGCTCCACCAAAGGGTCCAGCTCAGCCCTAAGAGATTGCTCTGAAGGGATCTTGACTACAGAGCAATTTTAGGACCTGGCTGACTCACTCAGGTGCTTGAGGTTTGTTGGGCTGTGTAAATTACCACCCTCTTCCTCCATGCCTAAGCATCCTCTCAGTAGTCCGGAGCTGTAAGTAACACATTTTGAATTAGGAAGTGTTTGGGGATGAGTAAAATGCCAAAGGCTTTTTGCCACATGAGTGGTCCAGAAGTAAGTGCACATATATATATATACACAGAAGCAAAGGTGTAAASCACAGTAGCTACAAGAGGTCTCAGCAGGCAGTTCAGAGAGGTCTTCATTTCTGTGTTGTGCAATATAAAATGATTAAATATTTGCTTATAAAGCTCCAATCAGGCAGAGGGATCTTTTAGGGACGATTTGCAAGTCACTTGCTGAATTCAAAGCAAGAAAAGGGAGCACATCCTCTGGGGACGGCTGCGGGACACAGTGTGGATGTGGGTTGGAGCAGTGCTAGACTRCTAGTGCAGTCACATTTTCATGCTCGCTCTCTGAGACCCAGTGACTTTGTATTTCTTGATTTATTCCTGCTTATGCTGAACTCTTTCAAAGACAGGGTGCCTTCAGTTCAGACTATTACTCACCCTGACAAGGCATTATTTTTTGGACGTGAGAGAGATGTGATCCCCCCAGGGACAAGAGAACGGAGCCAGGGGTTTGCTGTTGGAACCACTCGACCTGTTGGCACACACATGGTGTCCTCTGAGATCACTGCTCCACTGTGCCAGGCAGGCAAAGCCAGATTTCCTTCTGGATTTACCTGTGAGCCAAGGACAGGGATGAGCAGTCCAGGGTAATTTTAGATGTGTGTAAAGCCAGATTCAATGCGGCAATGGGAGTCCAATGTAAAAGACACCCTAGGTGTTATTCAACAAAGGCGAAAAAGGTGAGGGAGATGGTAGGACTTCTAAATCACAGTTTTGGACTTTGGCAAAGTTTAGGCACCTCAGTCCTGCCTTAGGTGTGTAAATATTTTACAACAGTGAGTGAGCTGGGAGCCCATGGGTCAGGCTTAGCRGATAGACCAACGTGGACGACATTGTGGTGTCTTCCACAGACCAGCTGATCAAGAAGTGGGTGACACTTTCTGCCACAGTACTGGCAGAAGCCTCGCATTTGCAGGTGCTGGTCCTTATGTGGGCCTTTGACTGCTCCAATGTCTGAGAGAGGCTCAAGCCTCCACATCGTTGGACACCCTGGAACTGCATTTTGTATTTGCAGAGTTAAGCCTTGAAGTAAATATAATATTACATGACTGGGATAATATTACATGACTGGGATGACAATTGCAGAAGTGATAGAGGGCTTGCAAGAGGGAGAGCGCTCTGTGTTCAGGTCCCTCAGATTGCCTTGAAAATCCACGATTATCAATAAATGTCAGCAATGTAAGCAAATGTAAGCAATTCTTACTTACTAGGATAGTCCTTGTAAATATTTATCTTATAACATTTATAAGGTTAGGGACTGTTCCCTAACCTCATCAGGCTGCAGGAACAGTCATTTTCCAGTTAAAATAAACAAGAGTGATGATCTAGATGCAAAACTCGATAATTAAAGTTTCATAACTCATTTAAAAAAATGCAACATTTGGTGAATCATCTCACTTTACAAGCCAAGGAATACTTTGCCTTGCTGAAATTTGGAAAGGTCAGTTTTTAATCTGGATGCTAATCAGAGAATCTGATTTTCTGTAAGAGGGTCTGACTAGTAAGGTTATTGTTTTCCCTTTTGGATATAGATTATATGATTAAACATAGATATGTCCAATAGATATATATCTATATTTATATGAGCTTATATTTAGATTTTGATTATTCTGCCATAGTGGGGTATGTCCAAATAACCACTATTTGTGACAGTGACAAATATGAGAGTAAGCAAATGGATCTCAAGTTAATATTTTTATTGCAGTCACCCCTAGAAAATTAAATCACAGATCATCACCCCATTAYGCTAGATATGGGGCAGCTCCAGGAAAAACTGCAAACCTAGTTGGTGAATGATACAGCCCTCCCCAATTAAGTGTGCAGAAGAATAGTATAAATATAATGAAATTCAACCTCCCTGCATAGTCCTTGATTCTTCTCCTCGTCTCCTCAGTAGTTAGAGGGATAAGAGGAATACAAATCCTAGAGATAATAAACACCTATTCCCTGTGACACACTGCAGATGTAATGACTGGGCCAC